GTACTCACCAAGGTGTACTCACCTAGATGTACTCACCAAGGTGTACTCACCTAGATGTACTCACCTAGATGTACTCACCAAGGTGTACTCACCTAGATGTACTCACCAAGGTGTACTCACCTAGATGTATTCACCTAGATGTACTCACCAAGGAGTACTCACCTAGAAGTACTCACTAAGGAGTACTCGCCTAGATGTGCCTACGAAGAATAACGCAGTTACCAATTTCTCCCGTTCTTTACATATTTAATTTTTACATTTTTGTACAGAGCTTCAACTATTTATACACCTAACTTATTCCACTTGTTAATAACATCTTCAAAGCCAGAAACGTTCTGTCTGACGTCTAACACAGTTAGGGAGAAAGGGGGAAGAGGAGGGGGGGAGAGAGAAGAGGGAGGAGGGAGGGGACGAATGGAGAAGAGGGGGGAGGGAGGGTAGTGGGCAGGGGAAGGGGGAGCGTCCCATCACACACTGACCTGCTTGGCCTCCTCCCTTCCAGTCCAGAATTATGCAGACAATGACTGGCCTTAAAACAAAATATTACATTATTAAATGTTCCCCATTACTGCTGGAACACACACATGTGCTCCGTTGATAATTTGTTCCTTATTATTTTTGTCTTCGCCCACTGGGAATGGAGACGGTGCGGGGGACAAGGATAACGGGGAATGGGGAGGGTGTCGGGGAATGGGGAGGGTGGGGAAAGAGCGTCTGGAAATGGGTTGGGGTGGGCTGGGTTGGGGAGGCAATGGTTCTCAGCGTCTGTGTAGGCCGTCAGGGATGAGCGCGCTGGGAGCAACATTCGCCCGTTGGCTTCCTCGTGGCTGTACAGAGGGTGGGGGAATACAAGGCGTGTTGAAGCCCACCTCTCCAGCAGTCGAGGGCACGTTGTCTCCCTCCAGAAGCCACTCGAGGAAGCTGGCACCGTCTGAGGAGGACCTGACCAGCTCCACCTCCTCATAGTATGCGCTGAGAACCCTCAGAACATTTCCCAGTATGACTGGCAGTTGCATCTACCACAGGTAGACAGGTGCATCTACCACAGGTGTGGTGGGTTACCATTTCACATTCTGGACGTGCAGGACACCTCGGTGTAGGTATCCAGCACTAGATCACGACACCTTTGTGTACAGGTAGGGGGGGGGGGGGGGGATGAAGAGTCTCTCGTCATAATCTTCGGAATTCTTGCCAGAAGCTTCAATGTCCGGATGCTGGCAACCCAATCAAGAATTATACTTGCCGTTGCCACAGCGTCTGCCAGGTCCTCAAAGACCGTCGCTTGCAACAAGGAAACCAGTCATAGAGAATATAATCTGTGGCTGGTTTCAGCCGTCACATTGCGCTACAAAACACGCTTATTCCTCACGACGAAAATAAATTCTCAAGATTTCCATCCCTTGTGTGGCATTGACAACGGTGACGTTATTCTTCAGTGGCGCCAGCCGTTGCCTCCTTTTGCTTGCAGTCTTCGGGGGACATGATTTTTGTTTAAAACATTTTTCAGGCTGTGACAATGAAATGGGCTTGGGTCTGTTCTACCAGAACCTTTCTGGGGAGGATATCAGCTGCGTCTGGCCAATCATTTTCACTGTTCAGTCTCGACCGCTGCCGGATCAGCAATTCTCTATGTCCAGGGACAGTGAGGTCCGCGCTTCCTTCCCTGAACGGGCTGTCAACTCTTGAGCTGGCATCTTGCACAAATGCACTGTTTATGTAGGGCAGACGTAAATCGGTGTATTTATGTATGTAGGTTAGATTAACATTTTAAAAGCACTTCGATCACCTGTGGTTGATTGTTCAATAAATCCCTGAACTATATGTTTAACAAATCTCTCACCCTGTCCATGGAGGACAGAAGAAAATGTATATATGCTGGTTAGCATGGTAAATGTATGGCCACGTCTGTGGTACAAAAGAAAACTTTCAAATATTATTTCGGCATCTTTGTTTCCCTGACTTGAATGTGTGGCCTGTCGGTCTTGAGGTTTCAGGAATTCCTCTTCGCCAGTCCGGTCGATTCTTGTTATTATTTTGTATGTGGTGATCATATCGCCTCTTTTTCTTCTATCCTCTAGCTTTGTCATATTTAAATCCTCTAGCCTCTCCTCGTAACTAAGTTTTTCAGTTCCGGAAGCCATTTTGTAGGATGCCTTTGCACCTTTTCCAGTTTAGTGATGTGCGTCTTGAGACATGAGCACCTGGAACAAAAAGTTCCAAGTAGCACGGGCTATGGTGAGCCCGTAGTGTCATGAACAGTTTCTTTAGTATTTCACCATCCATGTAAATAAAAGCATTCGTCCTTGCATGTGTCAAGTTCCAGAACCTGCATCACAAACTGCACATGTTCAAGAGTTCTGGGTCCCACACCCTTCTGCCCTTCGCCAGGCCTCGCTCAATGTCCAGGTTTGCCTTTAGTTTACCTATTGCTGATTTCGAGAACTTTTTCTGCTCCCAAAGCTCGGCCAGGCTTGTTTACGACACTCTGATCTAACAGACTGTTGCCTGGAGAGGCTGGCAGGTGTGTGTGTGACAGCCGCCACCAACCTTGATCCATTTGAATAAATTAGCCTGGCGTGGCGTGCTCTAAGTGGTGATGTATTCAACACAAGTGCTCCACAGTGGAGTAATGTAGTAATATTTCTCCACATAAATGAAGGCTTTACTGTAGATGAACGGCCACGTTACTATTTGACAAGCGAGTTAAGATACGATAATTGTGGCATAGAGAAGGCGAGATTAATGGCCCCAAATAATATAAAACGCATGAAAAAATATTATCTATATTTCTTAATATATGTAACATTAATCAAAGTTTCTAAGCAATTTAAAACTTAATACTCACACCATATTTAGAAACAGACAACGACATTTGTGTGTGTCAACCGTTTTGGTTTAAGACGGAATAAGTAACTCAGCGAGAAGGTATCATCTCCTCCCAGCAGCTAATACTACCCTCGACCTCCTCGGACATTCTCCCAGGTATTCGCCACAGTTTCCTCCGCGTGAGAGGAAGTCACCAAATTTGAGTGACCACCGTAAGGGGCTCCAGGGGGCTGGGCAACCCGTCCCCCCTAACAGAACGTCGCTCTTGACGTATACTCTGCCTAAACACCAAAAAATCGCCGTACTAGAAAATGGTAACGACTCGTGAAACTGACATACTGCCTCGTTTTCTGTTTTGGGTCCTCTGATAGGTTAGGATAAGGGCGCTTTAGTACGACAGTTTCTTGACGCTGGGAAACCTTAGGAGGACGGGCTTGGCTGAGGCCCTCTTGCCCACTTCATCTAGACGCACTCAAATGTACAGCACGTTTTTTCTGTATACAAATACAAGCGAATAAAAAGTGGCTGGCAGAAAGATGGTCGGGGGTCGAGCCATCAATGACAAACCCCCAAATACGCCAGTCGGTTCATTAAAATATAAGACAACTGGTCCAGCAGCTGCAGCTCGACCGGACCAAACACACACCAGGCTCGACCACTGGTACAGTCAGTCACAACACTAGTACAGTCACATACACACAACACTGGTACAGCCACACACACACAACACTGGTACAGTCACACACAACACTGGTACAGTTACACACACACACAACACTGGTACAGCCACACACACAACACCGGTCGAGGGGGCCTCGTAGCCTGGTGGATAGCGCGCAGGATTCGTAATTCTGTGGCGCGGGTTCGATTCCCGCACGAGGCAGAAACAAATGGGCAAAGTTTCTCTCACCCTGAATGCCCCTGTTACCTAGCAGTAAATAGGTACCTGGGAGTTAGTCAGCTGTCACGGGCTGCTTCCTGGGGTGTGTGTGTGTGGTGTGGGGAAAAAAAAAAAAAAAAAAAAGTAGTTAGTAAACAGTTGATTGACAGTTGAGAGGCGGGCCGAAAGAGCAGAGCTCAACCCCCGCAAAAACACAACTAGTAAACACACAACACCGGTACAGCCACACACACAACACCGGTACAGCCACACACACAATACCGGTACAGTCCCACACACAACACCGGTACAGCCACACACACAACACCGGTACAGCCACACACACAACACCGGTACAGCCACACACACAACACCGGTACAGCCACACACACAACACCGGTACAGTCACACACACAACACCGGTACAGCCACACACACAACACCGGTACAGCCACACACACAACACCGGTACAGCCACACACACAACACCGGTACAGCCACACACACAACACCGGTACAGCCACACACACACAACACCGGTACAGCCACACACACAACACCGGTACAGTCACACACACAACACCGGTACAGCCACACACACAACACCGGTACAGCCACATACACACAACACCGGTACAGTCACACACACAACACCGGTACAGCTACACACACACAACACCGGTACAGCCACACACACACAACAACGGTACAGCCACACACACACAACACCGGCACAGCCACACACACAACACCGGTACAGCCACATACACACAACACCGGTACAGTCACACACACAACACCGGTACAGCCACACACACACAACACCGGTACAGCCACACACACACAACACCGGTACAGCCACACACACACAACACCGGTACAGCCACACACACACAACACCGGCACAGCCACACACACAACACCGGTACAGCCACATACACACAACACCGGTACAGTCACACACACAACACCGGTACAGCCACACACACACAACACCGGTACAGCCACACACACACAACACCGGTACAGCCACACACACACAACACCGGTACAGCCACACACACACAACACCGGTACAGCCGCCTGAGTAACACACATCAAGCGATACTGTTATCCAAACCAAATTAAAAAAAAATAGTGATAAGAAATTACCAGCGGTGGCGGGCGGCTGAGAGAGCCACGTGGCACTGTAGGTGCCACCTGCCACCACAACACATGCGCCTACTCCCCCCCCCCCACTATGCACCATATACTGCCACGTGGAAAACAGTACGGGACACGAATTGGTGTATACCTGGTTTCCGGTCACCTACAGCTGGTACACCGACAACTGGTACGCCGACAACTGGCACGTCGACAACTGGTACGTCGACAACTGGTGTAGAAGCACCTCACCCGACCACACTTTTCAGAACGACATTAACCTGACATTCGGGATCAGGCGTTCAGGTTATCGTATTCTTCTTCTTAAGTTCAAAATCACAACCACGTCATCACTACAACACGCGACAGCCCCGCGGCTCGCGGTCCCTACAACTCGCGGTCACTACAACACGCGGCAGGCCCCGCCCCCACACACACGCGGTCACCACCACAACAGCTGAGTGGGTCAACACTGAAGGCACTGGAGCACCGCGGGCGACGCACTGGGGAGAGCGGAGCACCAGCGAGCCCGCCACCGCCCCCGCCGCTGCCCGACAGATAAGGGAGATTCACACACGCACCTTATCAGGGGAAAATCGGACGAGGTGGAGTGCGAGGGAGTGGATAGACCTGTGTGTGTGTGTGTGTGTGTGTGTGTGTGTGTGTGTGTGTGTGTGTACACGTTACTGGCTGCCAGTCACACTGACGGCTTGGTTATGTGCGCGCCGCTCTGTGTGTGTGTGTGTGTGTGTGTGTGTGTGTGTGTGTGTGTGTGTGTGTGTGTGTGTGTGTGTGTGTGTGTGTGTGTGTGTGTGTGTGGGGCTGAACTCAACTGACAGTTGAAAGAAACGTTACAAAAGATACAGCTTGTAATACCTTCATGTAGACAAGCTGCAGACCGAAGCTTACTGTAAATATAACCACACCATTCAAGGACATTAGGATGGTAGATATCAAATTGATATCATAGCGACCACAAAGTAACAAGTAAGAGTGAGTGCGTGGCACTAGCGAACACAGTGCCACTTCCGGTTGGCCGTGATGTCATAAGAGATAACGGATGTCCGGAGGAGCGGCCCGGCTCTGGCTTCGTCACTCTCTACGCCGGGGTTTTCTGCCGGTAGTCCGCTCACATTCTCTCAATAAAAACTGTCAAACTATATAAACAAATTCAAATGTTTATTCAGGTAAAGTACATACATAAAGGGGTGATACAAATATTGATGTATTTATAGATAGAGCTAGTACATACAATGCCTAAAGCCACCATGACGCAAAGTGTTTCGGACAGGAAAAACACTAAAGACTAAAACTTAATACTAATTGAGATTAAAGTATAAAATGTGTTGAGAAAATATAAAAATAAAAATGGGGGAACATGGCAAAAAAACAGCAAAAAAATACAATTTGGTCGACAAACAGCAGTGTTTAAAAATAGCAGACATGGGTGGACATTATAGGGGTAAGGTGGGTTATAGGGAGGTAATTGGACTTGTGATCCTGTGGTCCCGGGTTCGATCCCGGGCGCCGGCGAGAAACAATGGGCAGAGTTTGTTTCACCCTATGCCCCTGTTACCTTGCAGTAAAATAGGTACCTGGGTGTTAGTCAGCTATCACGGGCTGCTTCCTGGGGGTGGAGGCCTGGTCAAGGACCGGGCCGCGGGGACACTAAAGCCCCGAAATCATCTCAAGATAACTTCAAGATAACCTCAAGGTAGTGCTTAGTTTTTATCTTAAACTGGTTGAGAAACAGATTTTAATACTTTTCTAAACGAAGCTCCAGCTATCCCAGGATGGGACTCTTATCTTGATACCTTAGTCGCCTCTCAATATTAGTCAATTGATATCTTCTGATATCATAGTACCTCACTTCATCACACAAATTTTCACAGATATCTACACATTACAATCCGAGAAGCGTATGATTAAGACGCTGTACTTGTTGAAGCACCAGTCCTATCCACCGTGGGGATAGGAATAGTGAGGATAAGAATTCATATCCGGAATCCTTATCCTCTCCAAGTGCTATCTAGTCGTAATGATGTTTCCGCACGAGAATTACCGTATTCGTCTTGTTCGTCTAAGATCACGATGAAGACTGCAATGTTGCAAGTCACTCTGACTGTCAGGAACTTGAGAACTGTATTACCGCCGCCTGGTATGGTCAAGTATGAGTCCTGTATACACCTCTTCCCCACCCCCCCCTCCCCCATCATCTTGTACGACCAGGCACCCCAAGATCTGAGAAAGCTCCTTTACTTCCTGCAACACTTCTACGTCAGTCATATTTCATCACGCAGCCATCTCGTAGAATAACCCACTGGGAGCCATCCCATCACACACTTGATTGACAGTTGAGAGGTGGGAACAAAGAGCCAGAGCTCTTTGCTTTGAGAGCTGAGCTCTCTCAGAGCTCAACCCTCGCAAGCATAACTAGGTGAGCGCATACACAACGTTCATATATTTATGATAAAATATAGAATCGATTAAACTCTCACTCCATGACTCCCCCGGACTCCCTCACCCTGCCCACAAGACCAGAAATAGTTTCTGTCCTGCTCAAACCTGATATACTAGTCCCGTACGTTGAGATCTTAAGCCACTATTGTCTCTCATTTTAATTGTGAATAGCGTGTATAATCTCTTGGCTATCACGTAACCTTTCCTTCACCCCAAATAAGACCTACCAAGGAAGCTTGTCAGAGGTCACACGCCAGTAACTAATCACAGTATCGTAATTCTTTCCCCACACCGCGTCCAGTGGACAGCTCGACCCAATGGAAGAAAAATCAAGACAATTTGGCCGTCGATAAGCTGGCGCGCGCGACCATTGGCAGTAAAGACCCCCTACTTAACCCAACGACCCGACATATATATATTGGGGGACCATGACAGGTGTCCAGAGAGGTGTGGGCTGAGGGGCTCACCCTGTGGTCTCTCTCACCCTAACTGGGCTGTTTGTCTACTGGACAAAAGCAAGAAGTATATATATCATTCATTCACTTGCTTTCTTGCCCTCCTGTGAAATACATTATGCATATACTTGCATTCTTGCCCTCCAGCAAAGTACATCGTTCACAAGCATATTTATCTTCCTGTGAAGTATACCACTTATTCATCTGCATTCTGTCCCTCCTGTGAAGTATATCCTTCACTTGCATTGTTCCCCTCCAGGGAATCTGCCGACGCAGGTCGAACCGAGATTCAGAAAGCTCTAACATGTCCACTCGAGTGTTTACTTGCAGAGATGATGTAAAAAGACCCCACAAGCCAGGAGAGCTTTGCAGGAGGTAGCAATCCAGGAAGCAGCAAGGAATACGAGCCAGCTGCTAGGAAGAAAAAGAGCAATGGTAGTGTTAAGACTTAATGAACCAATATGTGATGAAAAGGAGAGGGAAAGAATGGACAGAGATTCTCTGAAAGGGAGCTTAACAGAATTGAGCGCAGAAGAAGAGGACAGCAACATAGTACAGGTTTTCTGGTTAGGCCAGTACACGAGGGAGACAATAACGACTGGTGAAGGTAATATTTCCAAACGCGACAGTAAAAAGAGTAAATTTTATGGAAGAGTATGTTCTTATTTTCACTGGATCACAGAGAAAAATTTATCCTACAGAGTCTGAGAAGGAAAGAGCTGCAGATGCAATAAAGAGGAGGCACAGGGGAGGGGAGGGGAGGGGAAACCCACATCCTATAGCTTGATAACCCCCAGGGTCCACCATACCAGGCATATAAATCATCCCCCTACCCACCCTTTCCTAACCCCAACCATCCCTTAGCTCCACCTCTTCTACTCCTTATCCATGCATTCAATCCTAACCACACTTGCCTACCCTCCTATTACACTCTACTAAAGAAACAAACTATAACATGATCTGAAAAAATGGAAAATGTGGTCCCTCAAGTGGCTACTGGAGTTCAAGCCTAGCAAGTGCAAAGTAATGAAGCTGGGTATGGGGTCTGAGTCACTATATGACAAGGAGTAACATGGTCTAAGACATCCTATTGGAATCAGACAGAGAAACACACTTGGGAGCTGATATTACCCCCAACCTGTCACCAGAAGCCCACATCGAGAGAATATCATCAGCTGCATATGGGAAGTTGGCTAAGATAAGAACTGCCTTTAGGAATGTGAAGGAGTCGTTCAGAATCTTTTATATCGTTTACGTCAGCCCAATTCTGGAATATGCAGCATCCGCGTGGAAATAATATCTCGTTAAACAAAAAAAAATTAAGCAATTTCAGAGGTAAGGCACCAGACTAGTCCCAGAGCTGAGAGACATGAGCTACGAGGAAAGACTATAGGCGTTAAAACCTCTCAGCACTGGAAGACAACAGGGGAGACATGATTACCACATACAAAATTCTCAGGGGAATATACAGGGCAGACAAGGACACACTATTTAGCAGGGGTAGTACACGAACAAGGGGACACAGGTAGAAACTGAGTACTCAATTGAGCTACAGAGCTATTGGAAATATTTTTTTCCGTGTCAGAGTAGTTAATACATGTAATGCATTAGGCAGTGATGTATGATGTGGTGGAGGCTGACTCCATACACGGTTTCAAATGTAGATATGATAAGAGCCAAACAGGCTCTGGAACTTATGTGCATCAGTCGATTGAGAGGCGGAACCCAGGAGTCGTGGTTGATCCCCCCCTGCAAATACAGCTAGGCTAGTACTTTCTCGTCCCGCCTCTCAACTGTCAATCAACTGGTGTACAGGTTCCTGAGCCTATTGGGCTCTATCATATCTACACTTGAAGCTGTGTATGGAGTCAGCCTCCACCACAACACTGCCTAATGTATTCCATTTGTTAACTACTCTGACACTAAAGTAATGTATAATGTCTCTGTGGCTCATTTGAGTACTAAGTTTCCACCAAGTGGGCACTTAAGAGGGCACTTAAGGGGGCACTTAAGTGCTTGATGAATCCCGGCCCAGCTGGTGACTACAGTTAGCCTCACATTCATCACAGCTTTCATCACATTGCAATTGAAGAGTGCAATGCAATATCCTACAATATCCAATGCTCAGTGCCTTTCATTAGCTTTGAAAGTTCACTTAATTCTGAATACATTTAACATAACAAGATCGGACTAGTCACGCATGCAGACAGCAAGTCACAACAACCTGGCTGAACACCAATAGTCCAATCCACACACGTGTCAACGCCAGCGTCGGCGTCCGCCCTGGACCAAATTATCGCAAGTCGGGGAGTAGAAGAAATCCCAGAACCCTCTCTCCAGGTATGCTGCGGGTATGCTGCGGGTACGCTGCAGGTACGCTGCAAGTATGCTGCAGGTACGCTGCAGGTATGCTGCGGGTATGCTGCAGGTACGCTGCAAGTATGCTGCGGGTATGCTGCGGGTATGCTGCAGGTACGCTGCAAGTATGCTGCAGGTATGCTGCAGGTATGCTGCGGGTATGCTGCAGGTATGCCACCAACACTTCAGCATATTGCCGTGACTGACTGGATGTTGATCCCATCGTTGTATGTACGTCAAGGAGGCGTATGACCGTAGGAGACCCGCTCTGAGAGGCTTCTCCAGGCTGCCAGTCCAACACCGAGGATCCCCCCTACTTTCCCAGCAAGAACAGCAGCAGGAAACAGCAGCAGGAAATTAGGGGATAGGAGGAGGAGAAGTAAGGATACGAACAGGAGACTCAAATGGGACAATCAAGAAAAGGAGAGATGGAATTAAGAAAACTATATATATTAAGAATGACATTGGAAGACAAGAGGGAAGAATAAAGCCCATTGGGGGAGGGAGGAAGTGAATGGGGTGGAAGAGAAGACAATAAAAATACTTTTATTATCGTTTGTTTATAGTCGCCTTCCACAACCCCTTCATATTTCCTTCCCTTTATTAATTCCCCATAGTCATATTCCTTCTTCACTTCCTCACCTTTTCCATACGCTCCCACTCATCTTTCCCTCCTTCCCTCACCTGTCCTCCCTCCCTCCCTCACCTGTCCTCCTCCCTCCTTCCCTCACCTGTCCTCGCTCCCTCCCTCCTTCCCTCACCTGTCCTCCCTCCCTCCCTCCTTCCCTCACCTGTCCTCCCTCCCTCCGCTCATCAAACACTACCCTCCACAAAGGCATAACTCACCACTGAAGAAAGTTAGCGCCTGTTGTGGGAGCAATTATGAGTGACATCCCTGGCTCTCACACTAACTTTCCCACGTCACTCTCAAACACACACACACACACACACACACACAGAGACAGGCTATTTAACACAAGGAGCACACGCACAAGGGGACACAGGTGGAAACTGAGTGCCCAAATGAGCCACAGAGATATTAGAAAGAACTTTTTTAGTGTCAGAGTGGTTGACAAATGGAATGCATTAGGAAGTGATGTGGTGGAGGCTGACTCCATACACAGTTTCAAGTGTAGATATGATAGAGCCCAATAGGCTCAGGAACCTGTACACCTGTTGATTGACGGTTGAGAGGCGGGACCAAAGAGCCAGAGCTCAACCCCCGCAAACACAACTAGGTGAGTACACACACACACACACACACAGACTAAGACCTGGACCTACCTCCCAGTAGACACTGTTACGACACACTCACACTCAGACGAAGGAGGAGGATCTGGAGGACATCAAGAGGAAACACTCAACTATAGACCAGTATCACTGCCAATCATCTCTTGCAAAACATTCTGGTCTTAATCTTAGTTTCTTTAAACACCTAGAGAGAGAGGATTAAGTAAACAAACATCACCATCGCCTGAGGGAAGGGAAGTCATGCCTAATGAACCTATTAGAGTTCTGTGATAAGCTAGAGACAACGAAGAAAGGACACAGACGCATGGTGAACACTGCGTATTTCTGGACTGCCAAAATGCTCTTGACACAGTCCATGAGGTACCCCTCATGGGCGGCACCATTAATCTCGCAAGCGACTTGAGAATGGTCCAGGACGGACCGAAACGTCGTCGTCCCTTCACCTTCTAGTGTGTGGTCTGGTCAACATACATCAGCCACGTTATTGTGACTCGTCGCCTGCACCATTAATGTTCTCATTTATGTTAATGGCCTAACTACGGAAGTTGAGGCCTAAAATGGTGATGCTCGCTGAGGACACAAAACAAATAAGAGCCGTGACAGATGAGGTTTGTGAAGCACTTTGAGATGACTTAGACAAGCTGCTGAGCTGGTCAGACAAATGGCAACTACTGAAGAAAATGGGAATAGGTGGCAGGGTGGCGGATAAGAATGGTAAACTATGAAGGGAAACTACTTCCCAGTAACTACTGAGAAAGACCTGGCCAGAGTGGACATAACACCAAGCCTAACTCCGCTCTCACATATAAATACGATACCGTCATGAGAGGTAGTGGTGGTGGTGGTGAACTCGATTCACGATTTCCCAAAGTGGATCCGAGAGAGAGAAAACGGTTGGGAGTCGTTACACTAAACAACCTGTGGCTGGAAAGACGTTGTCTAAGAGCGAAAGTTGGCTACTTTAGTCAGGTACACATAGGTGAGCACACTCACGCACAACCCACGCAAATTCGTTCAATAATCTGGTTAATATTTGTGTTTGTTCGTATTTATGCACGCGTGTTAGGGGGCAGAGGGGGAGGGAGGGGGGGGGGAAAGGGAGAGAGCGAGAGCGAGAGAGAGAGGGA